GGTACACTAGGGCCAATTCGTTAGGCTTTAAAAGTGCGTTTTGCATATAAGAGAAGAGCTCTAAAGCGTCATTATATTTCCTACTCGTTGCACAAGTTGAAATCATTATGCCTCATGAAACATTACCTTTTTCAGGAATCTTATCGAACATTTGGATTGCACCCTAAATGTGACTGGATTTTGCATGCGCAATTGCGCATTCACCATTGTGACCCACAAAACCATGTCTCTCTCTAGATTTCCATCAAATAGCTGGTGAGCAATAGACATTATATTGAAATTGGCAAAGAAACAAATTAAAGAATTCTTAAAATAAGGTTTCCATACGAGCTCATATCTTAGTACAAGCAAGAAACAAGCCTTGCCTTCTTCAAGTGATGGCAGTTTAGAAAACGTTGCAATTACAAAATGTGCAGTTCTATTTTTTTAGGGAGATTCATTTATGGAGCATAGAGCGGAAGATAGGGAGGGATAGACAAAAAAAAAATTGAAACAACAGACTCTATAATGTTTGAGCAAAAAGTAAATAAGTTCGTAAACAATTAAAGAATGAGAAAACAACACTTTTGGAAGGAGATACAATGTTTTTGTTCATTGATTTTTAGAAGGAGAAAGACCAACTCATCGATTTCAAGAGAGAGAAAGAACACATTTGAATCTCAAAAGAGAGAGGGACTTGAAACTCTAATGTTTCTTCTCTCTCAAAGGTCCAAAAGCAAGAATGCCATTAAAAGAATCCCATACTCTTAAACCCTTAAAAGAAAGTATTAGTTTCATGCGCCATTTTTTTCTCTCTTCACCTTTGGGTCCATTTCCCTACAATACACAAAGAGCTCAAGCAATTTTCAAGGATTTCTACAAGTCGAGGGATTTTGTGGTTGGTTTTTATGGTTTTCTTCCAAGTGGGCATTCTTATTATGTTGCAGAGATCACGTACTTCAAAACCTCAGCTATTTGAGCCACTTTATATTGAGCAATGGAACCCATGCCCAAGCCTATGACCACGCTACACTTTATAGCTTTGTGAGCTGCGACTTTTTTGAGGTCGTCTTGAGAGAGGGGAATGACCGGTGTAGGAAGTGGTGGTGCTTTATTTGTGTACATGCAGTGAGGAAGTGGGATCGTCATCTGCAAAACGCTGGGGCTTTTATGGTATGAAAAGTGGAGTTTCCCTAAAGAATAAAAAGACTAATGTTTTCTTTTTGTTAATTTTCTTTTAACATGTACCTTTTTATGTGGTCGTGCTTAATGGGTTCTATGAATGTGGGGTAGCACTAGAGGGTCTCCAGAAAGAAGAGGGAGATGAGTGGATGCGAGAGCGAGAGAGACACGCAAAAGTTTTTTACCGGGAAGCTGAATCCCTTAAAGTCAACTCCAAGATGAATTCTTGAGGATTGAGATATTTGGGCATTATTTGAATATTAGAGGATATGATTTGACCCCGTCCAACACGCATATAAATTATAAACTCATAAAATTAGAATTAGTATTGATTCTAGTTTATCTGTAAATATTATGATATTAGGATGATATAAAAAATACCCTGAAATGTTAAAGTGCTTAGAGTGTTTCTGCTCTAAACTGGCCTGTCTAGTCTAATTCATATAACCCTGGGTAAAAAGGTTAAAGGCTGAAAGTGGGTTTCCCACATTGAAATACATAATGTCTCCTGTATGGCAGTAGAGATATGGAGGTGGTGTGTTTCTGAAAAGTGAAAGAAAAGAAATGTAAAACGTGATATTTGGTTTACTGAACTGGGGAATGAGGAAGAGAACAAATCAATAGACCTAAAAGAAGGCTAAGAGAGTTATAGAGACACGTGATAAGAGAGGACTTGCCAACCATCATTAATCAGACTCATTTTCTCTTTGGAGTCCTCTTCCCTCTCAGAATATAGTCATTTAAGCTTTATCCAAGGAGAAATCTGTCATTTTTTATGGAATGAAATTGGTTCTTTTCGATTATGGATGCATTTGAGCATGAGGTTCCTTTGTGTGTGGGCTTTGGTATGGACGAGTACAGCATCTGAATTAACCAATCGGCTACATTCCATGCCCCTAGTTTGGCTATTGATGTATATCTTGGTCAAGTTGTGGTCAAAGCACCAAAAACATACAATGTTTTGCTAGTTAGATGAAAACTCCAATTTCATCTTTAACGCAAGAGTTGTTTTGTTACTTGGGGTTGTGGATTGGCATCCGAAGGGACCACCTAACCCCCAAATTGTTCCTCACCTAAAAGTCTGCCCAAACAGGGCTAAAGCTTATTTTGGGGCTGCCTGGAAATGATGCCTCAGATTTGTCTTACTGATCCAATGGAAATTAAGTTGATTAACATTGTCAGTGTTGTATTGGATATTATTTTTGATTAGTAGTCTTGGTGTCCCAGATCAGCCTCGTCTTTGATACTAGTTTGATTATGTTTAATATCTATGCTTTTGGGTCCTTCCAAAATCTCTCAGCTTTATTGGGTGCTTGTTTACTTTCTATATTGGCCTTGTTCTAATTATATTTAAAGGTTTATGCGTATGAGTCCTTTCAAATTATTTTACTTTTCTTCTATTTTTTCTACTTAATTCTTTCATTATCCTTTTTTTTGTTTTTGTTTTTTTTTTTTAATAAGTGATGCTGAGTTGGTTATCTTTTTCTTTTAGTGCTTTGGTATATTAGCAAATGTACTAGGCTTAAAATCTATGTTCTTTGAATGGATGTGTCCTTTTCATTTCCCCTTGAGCATTCATTATCCCTTGTAGTTCAAATTTTGATAAAATCTAAACTGTTTGAAATTAAATGATATTGTCTATTAATTGGTTGGTTGGCGCATGGTTTGGATTCATGTACTAGATAAATGATTTGTCAAGTCATTGATGAATATGCTGTTGTGTTTTCTTACATTTCTTTAGCTTTCTTGTGCGATCACTATATGCTAGTTTTACATTGAGAAATTGGTGCTAGCTTGCTATTGTGTCTGCTGATATGTTTTCTGCTATTTTTTCAAATATATGCCATTTTGCAATCTAGTATATGGAAGTGTATATAGAGATTTGGTCAAGTGACATTCCATTTATGGCATTCTTCTTTTGTGTCATATTAATTAGCTAGTGATATGCATGTGGGTCGCACGTGTATTAAATATTAATGATTAAAATAAAATTTGATCTTAAAGTAAAATTTCCAAAACGGCATAAAATTCGTTTATAGACAGGATGGATCCATCTTCACATATGGGCATTTATTAAGTAATAATTATGTTTTCCATTATATTATTTTGTAACCTACTCTAAAATTAGTATTATTAATAAATAAATTATCTACTCGTAAGTAAATATTATCCTGGAATATTAAAAAAAAAAGAAAATGCAAAAACATACCACATAAACTTCAAAATATAATTGTAATTTTATTTATAGCTCCATTTTCAGGTAGTTATTTTGTTATAATAATTTTATTTATATTATTTAGATGGATGTAGTCAAAAGAGATATGGTTACCTATGGTCTGACTGGGAGTATGGTCCTTGATCATGTGCATGCCAAAAAGAAAATTAGAGAAGGAATTTTCTTATTATTTTTTGTATTTACTAGTATAGGTATCAATTTTTTCCTTTTTTATATGGTAATGTATTGCTAGCCTATATAATTTGCATTTTTGGCAATTCATATACTATTTTGTAAAAAAATGGAAATTATCTACAATTATATTAGTAAAAACATTATTTACTGATAAGTAAATATTATTCTAAAGAGTTAGAGAAAATAAAGATATTCATTTCTAATGTTGGTATTACTTATAAGTAAATAATGAGATATCTATTGGACTTACAATTGATAATAATGTTGGTAACATACTTCTCTCTCTCTTTCTCTCTCTCTCTCTCTCTCTCTGTTTTTGTTTTTAATTTAGGTTTGGATGTTGGAAATCTTAATAATGCACAGATAGAAAATGAAACACAGAATGAGAAAAATAGAAGTGAATAAAGGAAAATGGAGTTTTTTATTTTTCCATTTTCTAATTTTAATTTTTATTTATTAATGTGGCTTGTGTTTTGAGGTAATTATTTTCTTAAAAATACTTATTTTTGAGGTAATTGTATTTCTGTAATTTGTATTTATGAGTAATTAATATTCTGTATGTCCCTTTTTTATTATTTACAATTGTATCATTTACTAACATAAATTAAATTATTTTGTTTATATTAGTAAATACATTAATTACTTATAAGTAAGTATTAGAAGAAAAACAAAGAAAGAAGGAATTATGTTTTTATTTTTTGTGTTTACCCAATATAAGTATTTTTGGAATTATGTTTTTATTTTTGCGTTTACCAATATAAGTATTTTTGGTTAATTATTTTTATGAACATTTTTTGGCATTCTCATGTATTGAATAATTAATATGACAGTTTCTATTACTACAATTCTGTATCTATCATGATTTTGATCATTATAAATTTTTTTTTGCTATTACCTATTGTAAAAATATAATTAATTATAATGATTAAACAATTATTAAAAATTACATAGTTAAAAATAGAATTAGCTTTTTTGATTTATTTTTATTATCTCTTAAAATAATTGCAATTGTGTTCAATTGTATTAGTAAATGTATTATTCACTTGTAAGTAGATATTATTATGAAAAACATCCTTACATTTGAGTTTATTTTTTACATGATTGTATATATATCTATTTAATATATGATTATCTTTGTTTGAAATATTAACTTTATGATTATCTTTACCAATATAATACTACGCTTAATTAATGATCAATCTGGCAATATTGATTTTGGCCAAATTTATTGGGACATTAATTAAGGGTGAGATTTATGGAGAGATTAAAGGATCAATATGGATAAATAAAAATCAAATGGTCAAATTTGGAATTCAAAAGGACATTTGTCAATATAATAAAAGGGGACCTCCTCTCGCTTATTATATCATAGATATCATCATGGGTTTGAGTTTGTATTGCATTCTAAGGTCCATTTTCCCTGCTGTAGGCTTTGTTATTGTTGGGATTTGAACTGGAGGAAAGTTCAAAGGTATTTATTTTCCCATTCTCTTTGTTCTTAGCTGTTGGGTTATCTAGAGCAAGCAATCTCAATTTTACGTTGAAGAATAATTGTATCAATTATGCCACAAATGATTTCAATTGTAAGAATGGATCATGCAAAGATTCCGCAGCAGTGGCACAACAAATTCCAATGGGTGTCTTCATAGGATCTCTGTCTCAATATATAGTTACATACATATGCACTGCACACAAACACACCCACAAGCATACGCCCACGCGCGTGCACACACACTAGCACTCAATGTGTTACACTCATGTGTGACGTATACCAAGATGATTGTGTGTGAACCAGGTTCAAGTTTGGGAGGGAGAGAGAGAGTTTGTCGCCCTGAATCAATGTGTGACACAATCATCTTGGTAGTTTAGATAAATGGAATTATCAACAGCCATTGAAGCCCAAATCCAACCAATATTATTTTTCTTTACATATGAGGGATACAATACCGAGCTTTTTTTACTTTTTCCAATGTTCTTCTAAAGTTGAGCCCGGTATGCCATAAGTAGCCTTTGTTTTCTTGTTGTAGAAACAAAGATATAGATGTGGTTTTGAAATGAGGGCATTTGCAAACTCAAGATAATTTGGCTGATGACAGGCTCTTTTATTGAAGTTGTTATCTTTAGTTGCATATGAAATTAAAAATACGGTTTAGAAGATTCTAGGGTTTTAGAAAGCTATGAATGCATGAAAATTAGAGTTCAAGAAGTTAAAACCTATTAATTGTCTCATTTAAACACATTAAGTGCAATACCTAAACTGTAGTTGGGAAATGGT